TTTTTGCTATTTTTTGCTAACTAACCAGCATTTGCGTTACACGAAGTGGAAAACAACGAAAAGCTCCTGCGGTTATTCTGATAGCAACCACGTTCGTAATTCGTATCGACCAACCATCTTTGTAATTTGAACCTGGGTCACCGCCACGACTCCGTTTAGTTAGCTCCTAGCTTAGTGTTAGCTGGTGTAACTAGCTTTGAGCATGTCGTTACAATGCATCTTAAACCATTTCTTAAGCAATTTATGCATTCTTATAAGCTTTCGCATTTGGGATAGTTTTGGTACCAAAAGCAATTATATTTACTTATCGCGAATAATATTTTTTATAAAGGAATATCCCGGTTGGAATTTTTTTAATACTCGCACCAAAAAGTTCAATTTAAACAACTTCCCGTTGCGCTGATTGAAACTAGTCTACAACAAACAAACATTAAATGTTTCCTTTTTTCCCTTCCTTCTTTTATTTCATACAATTATTTAAGTTAAAGCATTCTAAGCGTTCGCCATTTTCAAATGCTGTTGATACAAAACCTGTTTTAGAATAAAAAATAAATAAAAAACTCTAACAGAGCTTTTCTGACCTTTGATAAGTAACGGTTAACTGTTTAGCAATAATTTTTACACTCCTTAAAAAAAGATTATAAAATAGCAAACACAATACGTTAAGCAAACGCCATAAAAAAATCCCCACAAAGGAGATCACCGTAGAACCAATTACTTTTTAAAAGTACCACTCACCAACTGCAACAGTAAAAGTGAAAAGGTTGAAAATGCGGTTTAGGTTTTGAACGAATTTTTTTTTTCTTCCTCTGAAGGTTGTTTTTAAGATTTTCGGTTTAAGGATGAATTATGGAAATAATTTTAAAACATTAAATGTTCACATAGGAGTGTAAAAATTGAAGTATTTTTTCAAAATTTCAAATTAAAGATCCTGTTTTAAAAATAGGGAACTTAATACAGTTGCGTTTTGAATGTTAATCTATAATAGAGAGAAAAAAGAATTTCTTAAGAAAAACTTTGATCCTATTAAAAAGTCACACAACAGCTTGTTTTTTATCAGGATGGATCATGTAGGTTAAAGTTCCAAACTTTCGCGACCAACGATGTGATTGAGGTGAGTATTGCGCACAGGCCGCCTTTACTTCCCAAACAAGCTGATACCCATCGATCTGAAACAGGGGGGGCTCATAAGACAATATCAATTGAACGATGACAATAAAATATTATTATTATTAGCTGATTTAAACTTTTTTAAACAAACTGTTTGTATCAAACCAACTATTTCTAGAAGAGAGAAGGCCTTAGCATGGATCAATTTAGTAGTCCGACGTAACAAACATAAACTGCGCAGTGGAGAAAAAAATAAGAAAGATGCCACTACATTCGGGCTACTAAGCTGCGCAGTGGGGGGAATTATGAAAGTTGTCATTACGTTTGGACTACTAAAGAATCAAATTTCTTGTTTATAGTAACCCGTGCTAAGGTCTTCTAGGAGGTATTCATCAAATACAGTGCAGTAGTTGAGGAAATACTTGTTGAACCACCGATAGATGGCAGCGTTATTTGTCAATTAAATTGTAACCGTAACTGTAAAATGATATTGTGAAATAAGAGATCGACACTTTTTAAGTAGTCGTTGTGTAACAATTGTTCTGTATACATCGTGTTAAAATATATCCTTTTTTGTTGTTACTTACCCCATATGTCTGGTTATTTGAGTAGTTTTCTTTAATTTAAGAAAACGAGAATAAATCTTCGGTGTAATTATCAACCCGTTGGAATTAATTAAACTCTAAAAGAGAAAGTAGTTTTGGGGTAGGGTGTGGGGAACAAAACCCCTTCAGAAATTATGCATGACTTAATTACTTAATTAATGAGTTATTGTATGAGTTTTCAATATATATATAAGAAGGAGATACCCCCCCCCCCTGAAGCATGCATTAAAACTACGTCATCTGATCAAACAATGCACCTATAGAAATACAATTAAAGGCATCAAAAATTAAGCAGGAATATGTACTTTCTGGAGCATTTTCTTCCTCTCAAGAGATTAGTAGAAGTAAAGGAACACTGTCCTGATCATGTTGGAAATAGAACCAATCTCGGTTCAATTAACCGATCCGTCGATGATGTAGATTCGGTAGTTGAGAATCTTAAAAAATAAAAAAGAGAAACGATCACAGCACAGTTATGGGTGTTCGATTAGACTTGGGCTTCGGTGAGGACTGTTCTGATCAAACTATTGACCCCCTATATTTTGGGAGTCAGAAATTTATATCCGTCGGAAAGAAAGAAAAAAAAGATTTTCAAGATCCGCCAAGAGAAATTACATTTTTGTGTCTGATTTCGTGACTTAAAATATCGTCTGTACTAATTAATTAGCATATTTGAGGTCTTCGCCTTGAACCTTTATGTTTGAGTCCTAGATATTGAAGATTCGATTATTAGATCAAAAGTTATTCAGTGTGGTCCGTTTTTATTTCGCGCATTGTACATATTGTGTGTTGATTGTTTTTTAGAACTAAATTATTTTCCACCATTTTAGTTAGTGTTGTTATCTTTTTGTTGTTTCTCTTATTTGAAGCAGTGTAGCTCTTTCATACGTTTGGAAAATACAAATAGTAGAATTTTAGTATCCCACAGTAAACAAAATCTTAATTATAGTGTAAAATAGTACCTTGATCATTAGTGAGAATACGTAGAAATATTTTTAAAAAAGAAAAAGAAACTAACTATGCGTATTGTCGTACATTAAGTTTTATTGTTTTAAAACCTACTTAATTCACGATTAATAAAAATCCTATTGTTCATTGTGTTTATTTAAACAATATAGACCTTTTTTTAATAAATTTGATTAAATAGGATTATCACACAAAATCTCAATTTTATGATAAACAAAATATCATTTATTTTACGAAAAAAAATCTTTTTAGTTATAAATAATATGCTATTTCAATTGTATATCAAACCTTATTTCAGCGAAAAAATTTATTTCAAAGCGTGAAATAAATTTTTATCCTTCATCGAAATACGACGCAAGAAATTTTTCAAACAAAGAGGATACCATTAGCTAATGTTTATTTACAAATATCAGGTTTGATTATTTTAAGAATAATTTTACTACTATTTAAGAGAATCGTGTTAAATACCCTGCAAAAATATCATATGCAAAATGCAAATAAACGTTAAAAATCAAACTGCATCACTTTAATGTTATGCTTAAAAATAACTAATATTATTTAATTAAATTTAATTAATTGAATTTTTGGAAAAATATACATATTTCCTCGCATTTACATATTCACTTTCCTGCATATTTCTTAGTCTCAATTACTTCCGTAGCTGGGGTGTCAGGAGGATAAAATAATTTTAGAACAAATATTGAGGTAACTCTAATTTTCTAAACCTTTTCTTCGAAATAAAAAACTGATTGGTTTATTGCATTTAAATCGGTACAAATACTTCAATATTTTTATATTGATTACTAATTTTATTAAAATTTAAATTAATTAATTAAATAGTTAAGAATTTTAAAAAATCGCGTTTGAAAACTGCATAGTTAGTTTTAATCGAAACAAATTACTGGTTTGATTAAAAAAATTTAAAAGAAAAAAAACTAAATCTTAAAAAAACATTTTGTAGAAAGGATAAAAAAATGAAAAAAAGGATAAACTTAAAATTTATGGCACATGATCTGACAGTGGAAATACATATTAAGAGGCGTTGTTTAACGCAACAACACTGAATATAAACAAAAAAAACACATACCTATTAAAATGTTGATCGAGAGAGTTGGCCCATTTATCTAAAGAAACTAAGAGTTCACTAAAAAAAGAGTCATGTGTTGATGAATAAAGTTTGTTTTATTGAATATTTAGCTTAGTGGCGGCATCAAAAGCAAACTTACAGGAGGTACGGCAGATGGTTAGAGAAGTGGTCAGGAGTGACTGGGAGTTTCGTGGTTTCCATTCATACCAAACCAAAGGAGTGGATAGGTATCAGGTCTGGTTTCGTGGTTTCCATTTCAGACCAAAACACAGGAGTGGATAGGTATCAGGTCTTCCGGGTGACATCAGAGCGGGGTTGTATCAGCATTCATCGTCCAACAAGTGGATGAGAAAAGTTAGCCTGCGTGGCCTCAATTTGCATATGGTCGTCGCAAATCCATGATCAGTCCAAAATAAATTCTATTCACAATCGTATTCAAATTCTTTTTCACACTATCGTCTTTCGCGCTCTTCCTTTTTATAAGATACAAAAACTTAAAGTTGAAGTTGTATTACATGTTGTGCAAGTTAAAGTTAAATTATCTAAAAATTACGAGTTGAGAAGAAAAATTGATTATTCCTTAAAAGTTACGGTTGAGAAACGCGAAGATGAAAGATGCCGACAACCAGTGTGAATTCTCAGAAACGAAAAGGGTGGAATGTTCTAGGAAAAAAAGGGGGTTTGTATTGAACTGGTAAGGAATTTTAGGGGGAGAATGTCCTAATTGCACCTAAAGCTTAAGGGGCTAAAGAAAGATGATGAAATATTAAAATTTGAATCAGGAAATTAACAGAAATTAAAAAAATTAATTTAAGTTTGTGACACGATGTCACAACTATATAAGTAGGAATGATTTTAAAATTAATAGACTTAAAGCAAACTTTTGTTTAGTATTATTTCGTAATAAATACTTTACAAGTTTACAGGGATACCTTGAGATAATAGCATTCTAGACTTCTTTTTTATCGTTTCTTTTTAAAAATACCGATAAAAAACGCTCCCCTGAGCAATTATAAAACTTATCGTTTTATTTTTTTAAACCCTTCAACTGATTTGCTATGTATAACTCTGTTAATCATTATTCTGATTTGTATACAGACTTAGCAACATAATATTAGTTTCAAAACGATACTAATAACTCCAAGTAAAAAATATTACAGTCAGTCTTTACCTAAACTTTTTGTCTTATGCTTTATGCTACATTGGAAATTAAATAAAATGTTCTTTTTCAGGAAAACGCAAGAAGATGGATGGTTTTCGTCACCAGGGAAGGCCAGTGTATTACAAGCAAACTCCTGACACGTATGCGTATCAGAACTTGTACGGCACCGTTCGTGGTAACCCAAATGGCAAGGTTCGGCCTGCACTGGACTTTGAATCCGCACCTGTTAGTGGAAGAACAAAGAAATTTAATTTCCTCCCGTGGAAGAAAAATAAAAACAAAGCAGACGATTCTTTTACAGTGTCAAACGGTACTTTATCGCGCCACAATAAATTCAAATTTGGTTCTGTTTCCGCTTTAACAACTAGTTCACTTTATAGAGACTGGAATGACTCATTGTCAACAACGCCTTCTTATTCGTCTTCTGATTTGAAACATGCTACAGTCAGAAGCATAAATGGTAGGCCTCGTGGACCAGTTGCCTATCCGTGGGAAACTTACAACAATAAAATTAACAACAATAACGAAACTATTAATTATAAAAATAATCAGTTAAATAGGTTAGAGAATAAAAAGTTACACTCAACAGGGGATGACCATCCAAAACCCATTTCAGTTAACAATTCTTCACCTTTAAATTCAACTTTGTGCAAATGCCAAAGGAAAAATTCTGGCGCTTTTGGGACATTAAATTTAGGTTCATTAAAATCCTCAAAATGCAACTGTGGTTTTTCCAGCGTTAGATCTTCCAGAGGTTTTGCACCTCCTCCACCTCCAAGACGGAGATCCATTCTGCCTGAAAAAGTAGATCTTTATGCAGTACATGAGGATCAGGTGCATACGGATTCCCAGTATTCCTGTGGCCGCCGTAACCAGGAAAATCTTTACGATACTCTAAAGAGGAGTAATAAATACAAGGCACCGAATCCTCCAGCTGTACAGTCGGTAAATTACAATCCGAATGCTTCTTCGAATCATTCCAAACTAATGAAATCTTTAGAAAAGTGCAATAAAGACCCTTTTAGTTCTGTAGCCTCTCGAAAGTCAATTTTGGAATGCGATGTCACGGCTTATGACTTAGTGAAAACGTACTTAAAGAAGGACTCTTCAAATGGTAGTGACAGCGATTTAGATGATGATTTAAGTGATAATGTAATAGAAGAAAAGAACTCAAATAAGGAATTGTCCGAGAGCTTCAAAAAGGACGACAAAAACTACAAGATGACGATCAACAAGTCTCCGAGTCCCGTCAGCTCGGAGAGCGAGAGTGGTATTTATTCGCAGAACTCCAGCTTGCGAATAGGTGGGCACGGAATGAAAGTTCTACCTCAACTGGATGGTAACAGTTCCCCTCAAACTTCCCTCTATTCCGAAGGATCTAAAACGAATTCCGTTGATTCGCGAACGAGCAGTTGGAGTAACAGTTCTTTGTCGGATGATGGTATTTACTCCTTACCAGAACCGGACTATGATGATGACAAAGATCCGGACTCCACTCTCAGATTTGAGGACAGGATATACTCCACTCCAACACCGGGAGGAGTAAATCTTAGAAAATACTCCAGTGGCAACTGTCTAACAAACAACGAACCAGCATCCCACTATTCTGATATCAAGAATGGGCATTATGAGTCTCCTAGATTTCCAACTATCCGGAAAGCAACCTCCATGATGTCTCTGGCATCTGGATATGGAGATACTGGTACTTTGAGAGGCAGAGGAAGAGTACCTCGTGCTCCTGAAGTACCAACCATTTCATCATCATCAGTTACTCCTTCTCCCGCTCCTTCTGCTGCACCACCTCCACCCCCACCTCCACCACCCCCTCCAAATTTTTCCCAGTGGAAATCACCGACGCAAATTAATGCGATTAAAGACAAAGAGGAAGAGAATTTACCCAAAAGAGACAAGAAGATACCAATTAACAACATGAGCTCGTCGATCGCTTCGGAACTGGCCGAAAAGCTGAAGAGCAACAAACCCATCCTCAAGAAAAACGAAATTAAACCGAAGCAACCGATGAAAGTCAATTCCCACAATCCTTACGCCGAGGTGAAGTCAATCTTGAAGAAAACTGGGGAGAAGTTAACCGCCTCTGCTGTTAACGGAAGCAGCGATGAGTCGAGTTCAAGAGATGCTTCCGATCTGCAGGATGCTCAGGACACTAGAAAAAAGAAACGTGTGCAATTCAAATCTCTTAGCAACGAATCACTGGCTGTGGAACGAATACAAAGTGAGGCATTGTCGTCGTCTGATGAAGAATGGGAGGAAGCCAGAGATAGTTTTACGAGTGATTCCTCTTCTACCACCACTGATACCCTTCGAAAAAAGAACGACGAAGACTTTCAAACAGTTGAACAGTATCTTAGAGCTCGCAAGGAAGAAGAAAACCAAAGCGCTAAGCCAAGAAGCAACGGTGACAAAAGTGAAGCTAAAGTGAGTTTTATTTCTTTCCTTTTAAAATTATAACACTTTTAAAAATTTGATTTGTTTCATATTTTTATATAAATGTGGTCAGAACAAACACAAAATATTTTAATTTGATTCTTACTATCAAGGAATGATGTGTCTATAGATACACAGGGGGAGGGGGGGGTCTGAAGCCATCTATCCATAGTATGGTATGATATGGCTTTCGCATCTAGACTCTGATAGCCTACTTAACAGAGTAAATTTGAAACATTATCTCTATAAATCCTAATTTGTCTGCGACCTGACGAACGTAGATTATTATTGCAGAACTTCATCTAATCTTAATCTAACATATATGTAACAAGCTTTGCAAACATGTATTTCAAAAATTTTCATCAAAATTGTAATTTAAATTTAATTTTAGTAAAAAAGGTGTAATAAATAAATATACAATAAATTGCTCGCCTCCGTAACTTAGGTTCGCAGGTGCCCACTGGGTAACGTTAAATGAGTAATACTTCCGGCATCTTCCTAGACGAAGGACGTAAAAGTTCAGTGCCTGCCTTTAGGAAGAAAAAAAAGTTTGAAAAGCAATTGCCTTATACCTATATTCTTGATTCTATTTCTAAATTTTAGTGATGATACTTAAAATAGTTACAAACTTTTGATATGACATTAACACGAGGAAAAAAAATTTCTGCCGCACACATTAAATATTTTTGTATCACTGATTTTAAATCTGTTATCGGTTTTTCTCTCCAAGCTACAGTTTTTTTAAATGACAATTTTAGTCTTCTTTTTTCGAGATGTATAAGTTTATAATCGTTATATATTACAGGGGGTCGCTTAAATGTTACGACAAAATTCTTGGAGAGTTAGGGCACGTCATGAGAATTAAAATCGCATAGAAATCTATGTCTAGGAATGTCGTCAGAAGCCACTAGTATAGCTTAACTGCTATGAACTATTTCTTCTTGTGCTTTTGAACACGTCTTAATAATAAAGCGACCCCAGCAGCGTACGACAACATTTCTGTGCAATTTTTTATCCTGATGGCGTGCCCTTATTCTCATAGAAGTTAGTCGCAACATTTGTGTGATCCCCTTTTTATATAAAACGTTTTTAAATTTGCGCATTTAAAAAATAAAAAAATTAGACAAAAATTGTCATTAAAAAAAACAGTCGATTTGAAAGAGAAACCGCTTGCAGATTTTAAATCAGCTATACGAAGTATCCCGGATCTGTTGAAAAAAATCTCATGCAACAGAGAACAAAAAGAGAAAAAATGTTTCCAAGTGCTATTTTTATTGCAAAATGAAAAAGTTTTTAATATTCTTGCAATTGCTGGAATTAATAATTTCTTTTTTTTTTTCACTTTTAAAGCAAAATTCAAGAATATCAACAATACCACGGCCATCTCAACCACCTCCACCACCACCCAATATAAGAAAAGGAAATGTGAAGGGGCCACCACCCCCTTCTAGACCCCTGAGCAGCACCCCTAAGAGCTATTCACACAGTGATCTCAGAGTTGCCACTTCAAATAAGACTCAAAAAGACCAAAATAAACCTGGATTGTCCAAAACAGTAGAGTCTCTCAGGCCAGGACAGAGAACGACGCCTCTAGCTCAACAAAGTCGTGGAAAATCTAGAGTTCCTATCGGAGGGAATGCTACAATTGCAGGTGAGTTCATTTAATTATTTTAAAAATTAATTATTTTTTTTACAAAAGATGTGTTTTAAACTTATTTTTTGCGTTAAAGTAGCCTTATGCTCTAAGAAAATTACGTAAAATTAGTAGTTGACCGTTGAAAATTGGTAATTTATATGACCAGTCCCCTTCTTTGAGAAAAAAAGCCCAGTACTCGTAATTGTAACGAGCTCCAATAAAATTAGTAGAGTTGGTCGTTAATTTATACAGCCATTTCCCTTTCTTTAAGAAGAAAAAAGCTCAGTGCCCTTTATTGTAACGAACTTCAAAATTAGTAGAGTTAACCGTTAATTTATGCGACCAGTTCCCTTCTTTGAGAAAAATAAAAGCTTAGTACTCGTAATAGTAACGAATTTCAACAAAATTAGTAGAGTTGGCCGTTAATTTATGCGACCAATTCCCTTCTTTGAGAAAAAAAAAAGCTTAGTACTCGTAATAGTAACGAATTTCAACAAAATTAGTAGAGTTGGCCGTTAGTTTATACAACCATTTCCCTTCTTTAAGAAGAAAAAAGCTCAGTTCCCTTAATTGTAACAAACTTCAGCAAAATTAATAGAGCTGAGCGTTAATTTATACGGTTATAAGATAAAACTTTCGAACTCAATTCGGGAATGTGCACCATGGTGGCTACGGACACAAAGGTTGCGGGTTTGATCCCAGCAGTCTCCAAAGAATATCCCTCTCAAGCTCTCATTGCACTGGGGAACATACAGCTGTCTCACTTCTCGACAGATGGCAGCACTACCTTATTTTTCCTTGTTTCACGGTTCGCCTTAATTCAACAAACAAATCACCTGAGTCTCGAACAACGCCGAAGTCAGAGCAAAAGATAAATTTTACGAGCATAATGTTAATTTAAAGTCAGTGGCCATACATTTTACGAGAAGTTTAGGGACAGACATGTATTTTTATGGCCATGGTAGCTTAAATTTATTCCTACGGTCAATGACAAGACAATTTGGATAATACAGATTTAAATTATGCATAAATGTCACAACAATAAATTTTTCATAATTTTATAACTTTCTTTTAAAAATTAATAATTTTCAAGTCGAATAAAACTGATAAGAAATGAATTTGTTTTGGTAAATTTTTTATAAAAAATTACTTAAAAACAAGTATTTATGCTAATAAATGAAATGGTTTTTCAGAAATCCTTTAGGTAAAAATTTTAAATTGAAAACATATATTTATGCATAATTTTTAAACTGTAAAAATTTTAATGAAAAGTTAGAAATTATCATGTGAAAATTTACGAGACATCTAATTCATTCGTGTAATATTTATTTTCTTAACCTAAAAACTCCACTTGATTCAATTTAATTCTACTTGATTTTGCTTAGAAGTTGTAATACTTTAAAATGTCATGTATTTACGCGTACTTTTACGGGTCCTGACATTCTTTAAGAATTTTTTAATTACTATAATCTTGATCAAAAATCTACTTTATTAATTAGGATAGTTCAAAATTTGTTTCAAATTTAGAATACGATTCTACTTGATTAAATAGAATTCTTAGAAAACGTTTAACGAAGCAATGTTGAAATTTCAACAAAAAGAAATTCCTGTGGGAAGATTAAGCATTTCTTTAATTAGGTCACGGACGCTATTCTTTACCTGTAAAGAAAGTGTGAAACTGGTTTTGTGTTTATTTGAAAAATTGCCCTTTGAAAACATTCAAAGAATGATAAATGACCCTTTTTTTTATTGGGAATCAATTTGTAACGGTAATTGATAAGTAGTAAAAGAAATGTAAATTAATAAATCTTTCTGAATTAGTATAACTTGCGAAATCCTAAACAAATCCTAAGTTAGTTAACTTACAAAGTCCTAAACATATACTAATTTTAAAAAGAAAAGAAATTTTTTTTTTTAAAAATCCATGTACCTGAGAAATTATTGATTTAAAGATATTTTTTGAGAAAATCTTTGATTTGTTTGTTTTTTAAATATCAAATGGAAACTGTAAAAATGTGAAACAGGATGACATAAATTTATTTGCAATTGCGGCTTAAAACTTGTATGTCTCCTATTTTTTTTTTTTTTTTTTTTTTAATTAAAGGAGGAAATGAATAAAAAAGTTTTTTTTTTCTAGTACAACCAAAAAAGTTATGGTTTTGCTTTCTAATTTCTTCACTGATTCCTTAAAAAACAGCTATTTTAAATATACACGCCGATTTGTGTATAATATATACATATGTAATATTTACTCGTGATATAATACTATGCATATATAAACATGTTATAAATATGTATACACGTCAATTTGTGTACTAATTTTGGTATTAAATAATCCTTGCAATATTTGATTAATATTGCAAGGATTGATTTGATCGTAATATTTGATTGTAATACTTGATAAGTCATAACAATTGATTTAAGTGTTTGATTAATCATACATAAATCGAATGAAAGTTTTTATTAATCTTAATGATTGATAAAATTGTTTTATTATTGTTATGTGCAAATTTTGGAATTAAAACTTGATATTGTGGTATGAAAATAAAAAAGTTTGAATAATCCTTACAATTGATTGTTAAATGTAAGTAGTCATAACAATTGATTTAAATGTTTTATTGTTAGCTTTATTGTGTTGTAGGCTAGATTCTCAAGCATACTCAAATAGTCGTTATTTCAACACTTAATTATAATATTTGATTAGTCATAGCAATTGATAAAATTGTTTGATTGTTGTTATAGGCAAATTTCGGAATTAAATCTTGACATTGTTGTTTGAAAATAAAAAGATTTGAATAATCCGTACAATAAATTTGAGTAATAATCATAATAATTGGTTTAATTGTTTTATTGTTACCTTAATAGAATTGTTGCTATAGACTAAGTTCTGAAGCACTGTCAATTTGTTTTAATCTCGAGAATTAATTGTAATGTTTGATTACTCATAACAATTGATTTGAGTATTTATTGGCCTTATGTATATGAGAGAAAGTTTCAATTCATCTTAACAATTGATTCAATTGCATGATTAACCCTAACAGTTGAATAAAATGTTTAAAAAGTAATAATTTCATGTAGATAAAATCATAGAGAAACATGCTAAAATTTAAGAATAAATGGATGGAGAACCATTTTATTTTTTAATTAATTATGCTGCAGGCTGGTTTAGAAAAAAAAACCTGTTTAAAAATTTCAAAGTTCATTTAAAAAGCCTTTAAAATTTTTTGATTGTTCTCTTATAATTATTAAGTATATAAGTTTTAATTTTTATTTCCTTTTTTTAGATTCTACATCATTAAGTTCCACATCTACGCATGCGCATCCAAAAAACGGGGTGTCTTCCCCCGCCGCTAGTCCCGAGGCCACCACCTCTCCGCGGGGGAAGTCCTTTCACGACAATGGTGACCATTCCATCCCTTCTGAACAACCTCATATTCCAAATGAACTGGACATTGAACCCACTGCAGACGATAGTTCCTCAGATTCTTCCTACATGTCTGTTCCCAGTACGAACTCTCACGATTACGCAGACTGTAGTAGTCAACCAAGTACAGAATTGAAAAAAAGTACCGAGAAATGCCGAAGTGATACTGCTTTTGAATCTTCTGTACAGAATTTTCAAGAAAAAGCAACTCCGGTTACGTGTACCATCGTTAATATAGGATCAGAAGAAAATTCTAATTACAGTATACTAAAGATTCAAAATGGCGTGAATAATTCTGTAAATACACTGCAGGACTACGAAGAAAGGGTATGTTTTTCAAATTATATATGAAGTGTAATTTGTTGATGCAAAGAATTTATCATTAAATACTTCATTGAAGTCATGTACTTCAGTTTGTTATAAGTTGATTAAAAATAGTGATCTCAATATGAAATATTGGTTAAGGTGTAGAATCAGGGGCCCCTTGTTTTTGGCGACTGTTTTCGTTCAGTTTTGCTGTAACCCCGTTTCTGGCTACCATGATATACTTTGCTGGCTTTGCTTTCAATGACGTCACCTTCACGTTACAGCAACTTTTGTTTGACGTTATGTGATTCGTTCTTGGTCCGTTTTCATATATAGTGGTTTATTTGCAATTCGCCATTTATGAAATAAACCTTCGATTGTAAACTATTTTCTGAAATATTTTCAAAACACATATTCAGTGATTCCTAATTCTGTCCTCTAATCTCACCCCCATGAGAGTGGTTGGGATCAACTTTGAAATCAGAAATAGAAATCCTTATTCTTTATTGCATATTTTAATTTTCCAGAAAAAAGTACTCCGATACGACTTTACATTTTGCTTTTGTCCCACAGATGGCGGTGTAATCACAAAATGAGAATTAAGAAAATCTAATGACCCCACCACTGGGTGGGTCGAGTTTGCTGCCATTGGATAGCTTTTTCTAAATACTCAATACTTCTATTTGAGTTAAAAGACAATATCAAGATTACATTAAATGCTTTACGAATGTATAAGTAAGATCAGTCTAACGCTATTTATCGCTGAAAATTATCAATCGTTTGATCAACTAATTAGCTTTTTAAACAAATTATTCTAAAAACCAACCCTTTTTTTCCCTTAGAATTCGGAAGAATTATCGTCTGGAAAAAGTACTCCCCTGACATCAGACATAGAAGGCCCAGTATACAGCAAACTACTGTACGTATCACGAAGGTCACCATCTCCACCTCCTCTTCCCAGAAGCTTGCCGCCACTGCCCCCAAAAAGAAATGCATGCTTGTCCAGGAATCAGGGTATAGCTTCATATCCTCCACCCCCTGAAGAAGGCTTATACGACACACTGCCGATGCAGAAAAGTCGAAAAATGTCTGACCAGTCCATCTATGAGAGCCGGAAGTACAAAGATACAGGTGCCACAGTAGTTACCATATCCAGTGGGGCCAGTGATTCTGTATCGGAACATATATATTTTTCTGTTGGGTCTGATTCTATTTATGAGGAACTACCTGGTGACAAAGAGTCAACTACAATATACGGTAAAAATGAAATTTTTGATTAAAAATACTTTTTAAAGATTATACGTTACTTCAGTAAAATCCCATGAACCATTTTCGGGAAAAACAAATAATGGTGCCAAACAACACGATTTTTCGCCAATAATGGAAAACTATATGCCAAATGCGTGGTTTTTACAGTTAATTAGCTTTTTTTCTTGTTTTTGTTAAAATATAATGAATTAAAAAGTACTTTTATGTTTAGTTGATTTTTTTCCTCTAAATAAACGGCACCCCAAACTTTTTAAACATTTTTTTAACGCTGTTTTTCGAAGCTCTGTCGCCAAAGAAAATAAAAAATCTATAATTTAACTGCCTTACACTTGAAACAATGTGATGATTTTGGATTATATATATAATCTTGCCGTGTCTGGGCTTTAGAACAGACAAATAACTCAAATATTTTAAAAGTTTTTAAATAATTTTAAAAATTGGAGACATTTTCCCACCTAGATGAAAATTATCAAAATCACTACTGTATTCTCAGTTTTTGCAAATTTTTATGATTTTAGGTAATGCAGCATTGGAGTAAGTTTTTAAATATTTAAAAATTAAACCACAAATACTTTTCATTTTCTCAAAACTATGACTTTTTTCCATATCAACCTTTTGCGGCATTTTCAAAATAAGCTTAGATAGCGTTGGCCTCAGATAGGCTAAACTTGGTCTAAGAGTCATAAGTGACAGTTGCAAACTCAAGGCAGTTATTAAAATAAAATATTATTCGCAAGAAAGCATAATTTCATATTACGATGGTGCCTTCGAAAAATAACTTTAAAACATTAATTTTTTGAAAAAAAAATTTTAGAATTAACTTTTTTGTTTTAATTCCTATTAAATATTTACAATATGAACCGTTTGCAATATTAAAAGATTTGGTACCAATTTTGCAGAATTAGCACCAATTTTCCTGCTCGACTAGATTCTACATTTATACCGATTGTACATATTTTTTCTTGCAGTTAGGATCCTATTTATAAACGTAAGAGTCGACAGTTGACTTAATCACTTGGTGTAGTTTTTAATTAAAAATTACAATACTATTGACTTGAGTTCTGTTTGGGAGAATATATATACATTAAAATGTTGCTCCTCGCTTTGTTAAACTTTTATATGACAGTTATGCATTTAAATAATGATGAAAAAGTAGTCCGAAAAATTAAAGCAAATTTCTATTCACAATTGTATTATTGATTGTATTATACGCTTGTCAAAAATTAGCTCAGTTAGTCTTCCCAAATCTTACATGTAACTTAGTCTAGTAATAATTGCACTGCAAAAGTCTTCGTTATGACGTAAGGCATTAAAACGTCATTCAAAAATAAAATAGCGTTAGTTAAAGTGGAACAAGGGCTTATTTCATGACAAAATTGTAAAAACAGGCAAAAAGATTCTTTTGAATTCGTAAATCAGTAAAAATAAACCGGTTTAGACTCAGTAAGGTGAATTTTAAACTTTTAAGCTGGATGCGTATTATGTAATTCTTGACATTTAAATCTGACAAGCGCTTGCAATTTATGTACGAATGCAAATTGAATCTGATGATCTTTTTAAAATGGGAATTTGAGGATACATGGAGTTTTTATCAAGCATTAATCCTATTAATTATGTTACACAAAATTATTACATTAATAATCATTTCATCAGAACAAGAAGAAATTTTTAAACCCTAAAAAAATATGATAACTATGAACATTATTTTCCACTGCAAATGAAAATTTTACATCATGAATTATGCGATAAAAGAAATATTCCTCTATAATTGTTCTTATTAATATTAAAATAAGCATTTTAATATTTTAAAAAAATGATTAATAGGAAAAATAATATCACTTTATTTTCAACTGTAAAACAGATATTTTGCCTTAAACTATATAAAAAAGGAATTATTCCACTATATTTTTTCTTAATCAATATAAAAATAAATGTTTTTATAATAAAAAATATAAAAAGCAGTTAAGAAAACGGTATTACTTGACTTCTCTTAGTAAAACGGATATTTTAATTCATATCCATAAAAGGAATTATTCCACTGTAATTCTTCTTATTTAACCTATAAATAATTTCTTTAATATTCTAAAAAAATGACAACAAATATGGAAAATAGTATCTCTTATTTTCGTTATTTTTCTCAGTGACATAGATATTTTACTTCATAAACTTTTCAAATAAGGAGAAAAAAAATTAGTCATAAGTAAAGTGTTCTTATTTAACTTAACAAATATTTTAATATTGAAAAAAAAATGGCAACCAATAGGAAAAATATTATAACTTAATTCTTTCTATTATAAAACCGATATTTTCCAACATAAAATTGAAATTTGCCTCATAAAACATACTCAGAAAAAAGAAATTTTTCCCCCAAAATTATTCTTATCCATTATAATAATTTTACCACAAATATCTATCTATAAAAGGAAATATAAATTTATTATGCTATGTGTCCTAAGTTGGGTGAAATTCTAAGCGACCAACGCGGCACGCTGCACTGTAAAAAATTCCGGATCAAATTCCGGTATAAAATATATACCGGAACTTAGGATGTTGGTACTTTTTACCGTGAAATTTATTATTACCGGAGCATGTTACGGAACAAAAAAATCTGCTAAACGGTTATTTTTTACAGTAATAATTACCGTTAAATCACTGAATCGCTCTAATTAAATAAATATTACTGCAAAAACGGTAAAAATGGATTTTACGGATAATACATCCAAAGTGCCGGTACTTTATACCGTAATTTAGTTCGAAATTTTTTACATTGTACGTTCAGAATTGAGCTGAGTGATGTATCGCAAAATATCGATAATGAAAAAGAATTCTCCAAAATGTATAAAACCATTTATTAAACGATAAATATCGATTATATGACATTTATTGACAACAATAATATCATGGTTATCTTCGCAAACTTTAAATTTGAATACAGTAATATCGCGAGAATTATCAATAACAATTATAATCGAATACAATAATTTTGTAACCATTATGATAATTATTGAATACGAAAATAATCTGAGTGATAATTTTCGAATACTTAGGAAAATATCGATCCTGAAAAAATCGATGCCTCATATACATCGTTAATAAATATCGGAGATAGGAATATTAAAATTCCACTCTCTCTTAGAGTTAACTCTAGTTATTTCCACAACTATTTAAAATTACTATCTAATACTCAAATTACTTTTTTTCCCGAAATCTTTTTGATATTACTGTCATTTTTATAACGTTTATTTATTTTAGAATATTTTCAAGGCTAGAATATTTAAGATGGGCGTTTTTATTGTTTGAAATGACAATGAAAATAGTGCTTATCGTGACAATACTATTTACATAAACATTTATTTTGTTTCTCGTTTGAAAAGAAAATTATTTTTTCAGAAGCGTCTTTGTCCAAAACATTGTAATTTTCATATCTGTATTATTTCATTATTTGATTCTTTCCTTTTAAATGATAAACCAATTTTTTTTCCGAAGTAAAACGTAATACTACGTTTCTTGTATTAAGTGTGATCGCTTTAAAGGCAAAAGAAAATATTGTATTTAATAAAAGATTTTTTTTTTCAAATCAAAATCTAATTTTTTATTGCTGTTGTATGGTTTTAAATGAAATCCAAATTTTTTAGATGAAACTCTTTATTTTATCTGAGTAGTGTATATAAAAAAAATGCACTTTCAAAAATGTTGAGAACATTAGTATCCAATTTATTATTATAATTTAATTTTTTTCTTTAATTTCAAGTTTTGAAGGACATTGGCTGGGAACTAATGCATTTAGAAATCATGAATTATTTTGAAAGGGTTTACGTACATGTTAAGAGAATATATAAAGTTTTACGAATCAGAAATTTTTGTACGGTATGAGATTTGAACAAAATATCAATTTACGTAACGCACTGAATAAACTCTAGGAAGCATAATTGTATTCTGGCATAGGAATATAGAAAATCAAATCTTTATTATAGAAAAAATTTTCTTATATTAATTTTCTGCATATATATAAAGTATTGACTGCATTGGTTAAAGCATACTGAGAGTTAATGCTGTGTTAAAATCTGAATCTATTAAATTAAAAACTTAATTTATGCTTCCTATAAATATCAAAATGGTCATCTGACTGAAAAATATTTATTTTACACGTTTGAAAAATTTAAGAATTTTTGTTTTTGCCTTATATATTTAAATTATTGAAAAAGAATAGATAATAATTTTTCTTGTCAGTCCTAAGATGGACTTTCCAATGCAATTTTATAGTTGGAAAAGAAAACTAAGGGTGCGTTCACAGTGAGCTCTAACTCCAGTGTCTTGGTGTAATGAATTCTTTATGCAAGCGCAGAACGTATAATTTCAAAAATCTAGTTCAAAGCGCTTGCGCAGAGGAACGCAATACGCTGAGACTTTGACAACGACCTTCAACTTGAACCCACTTAAATATATACTGATTAATTAATACAAATTATTAAGCTGCAAAATTGAATTCAAAAATGTATTAATTCTTTCTCTCTCTGACTAAACACACAATTTAGACAAATGACGTTTAAAATATGGTGAATAATAACAATATGAAATAAATGGCTCTGACCTAACCTGATATGGTTCTGACCAAGAACGTACAATACCTAAAATATGAATATCTGTATTTCAGTTTCCACTAATCCATTCGGCCAACACAGACGATCCTTTTTTAATGGTGCATCAAAAGCAGAAATACTTAAGTTCTTAGAAAGAGCCAAAGACAGAGTAGTCGATGAGTTAGATGATGACACTATTGATGAGGATGAGGATGAATTACATCGGACAAAGGTAATCTTAAGGCTTTTTTTTTCTTCCCTGACTTATCTTTAACTTAAAATCAGCTTTTAAAAATGCTGCATTGTATAAGCTACTATTGTTAACCAATTTTGTAATTAAAGAAAGAGTTTATTCCCCTAATATACACAATATCATTAGAACAAAACAAATGATTAGGAAATTAATCATTTTAATAAATCTTAGAAGAATTTTAACAGATTCAACTATAAAAATTGATTCTTTATAAACATATATATTTGCTTTTACATTTAATCAAATTAATGACAACACAAAAAAGTCATTTTCGTGTAATACACAAGGCCCATAACTTCTTAACTACTGAAGTAAAAAGAAATTTTTCAAAAAAATATTTTACTGTTCCAAATTTCTATTTTACTGCCATAAATAATAATAAGATAAGCAAAATATGATTTATACTGGCAGGAGGTAAATAATTTTAGGTACACATACGTGAACTTCCGGTTTTAACTAAGTAAAAGAATTTAAATATTTCAAATGTTAAATTGCACCTAAAGTAGAAATAATCATGCATATTGTTATAATATGGTCGATTTAAATGTAATATTGAATAGATTTAATGATTATTTAAAAGAAAATATGAAGTTTTAGCAAATTACAATATGCAATACTGCATTATATCGCAATTTAAAAACTATTTTATGAAAACCACACAAAATATATAATTATTGAATAGAATGTAACATTAATTATAAAAAAATATCTTATTCTCAAGGGTAAAATTTCAAAATTAGGGGAAAAAACACAAATTAAAATTATTAAGTATATGTTATATATTAATTAAAAATATATATTAATTTATTTATTAATCAATTAAAATATATATTAATTAAAGTACACGTAAAATCATTACTAAATAGTTATAAAATTAAATACACATGATATAATGGGATTTCACTTGACAATTACGCTGTAAGAAATTTTGATATTCATCTGAAAGACACATATGTGAACCTGCATGTTCTGAACTGTATTATTTTTAAATATTAAGTAAAATAAATTTAAAAGCTTCATACAGAACGCAGAACTACTGAGTCAAAAGAAAATAATTGTTTTCAGAATAACTAAAGTATGTAATATTTAAAATTACTTATCTCTTCGAGCACATGGATTTGGCGTCATTTTTTAAAAATCACTTTTGTGTGGAATTCTACCCAATTAACTTACATGTTTTGCATCTATTGTAATCCTCAGAAAATTTAAACGTCCACGAATGTTTCGATGAGGGTAGAACTATAAAATAAACTTTCTTAAAATGCGTTTTAGAAGCTAAGATGCGAAGGTCCACATATGTGGACCTTCGGAAAAGGGATAACACGATTTTTAATGAATTTTATTAATAATTTTAAAATTTATTTTTCATGTGAAAAAAAATTGTTTTTAGAATAACTAAAGTATGTAATATTTAAAATTGTTTACCTCTTCGAGCACATGGATTTGGCGTCATTTTTCGAAAATTACTTTTGTTTATGTGGAATTCTACCGAAATAACTTACATGTTTTGCATCTATTGGAGTCCTCAAAAAGTTTAAATGTCCACGAATGTTTCGATGAGGATAGAACTATAAGTTTTCTTAAAATGCGTTATAGAAGCTAAGAAACGAAGGTCCACATATCTGGACCAAGGTAATGAAAGGGATAACAAGATTTTCAATGAATTTTTTACATAATTTTCAATTTATTTTTTATGTTTTCTTTAAATATTTTTAAAATTGTATTAATAAAAATAAATTATTTGATTACATTATGATTTCAACTGCAATTAGACGAAAATAAAATTTAAATATAAACAAATTTTCCTTCTGATAATGTTTTTAAATATATTTTTAAAATTTTAATTTTTCCATTTTTTTTCTTTAGAATGTCCGAAACAATCCTATTCGTATAAGCAATATTAGCAGCTCAAGCGACACTAGTACAGCCAGTAGCAGTAGTAGTACAAGTCAAGAGGACGATGTATCAACTAATAGGGTGATTATGTTTTTTTCTTCTTTTTTTTCGAAACAAGAAATGAAATATACATAAATCATGGCAAATGATGAACGATTACAATAAAATAAGTCTCCTCGAAATTTACTAATTTATTTGGACTTATTAGGTTAAAATTTTCTAGGTCATTTACATTACAAGAAAATGGTCCCACATAAAAATTTAATAATAAACAAAAAATGTAGCATTAAAATTTGATGTCCATGCAAACAAACGGCACAAATATTCAAATAAAAATATTGCATCAAAAATAGATGTTATACAAAAAGTGTTTCTTAAAAATCTTTACTATCAAATGAAAAGCGTCAGACAATAAGTTGATATCAGACAATAAGTTCAACATAAAAGCACTTACAATTTTTGTTTAAAAATAAAACAAAAAGGGTAACTCAAAAATTTGATATCAAGCAATAAATGCAATATGAAATCAATTACATCTTTTTTGAAAAATCTGATAAGAAATGTAGCACAAATATCTAATCAAACAAACAAATGGTGTAATGAAAGTAAAAAGTATAGCATATGGCATTTAAACTTAAAAAAATTAAAAGAAAAAAAAATAAAGTGCAACAGAAAAATTTGATATCAAGTAAGAAGGGCAATATAAAAGATTTCAAACGAAATTTTTTTTTTAGAATTTTTTTGTACTGAATTCAAATAGATTATTTATTTTAAGTTGTAAGTTAATGCATTTAAGTTGATCATTTTCACAAGGGCTGGAATGGAACATTCTACTTTCTGCTGTGCAATCATAATTAACCCTCCAAGAAAAATTAATTCTGTTTCGGAAGAATATTTTATTTTTAGTTATTTAAAATAACAGTGCAATACTACCTTTAAATCACATTTGTCATAGTGATTTAATCACATTTAGATCACCTTTATATCATTTAGATCACCATTAAACACCTTTAAATCACATTTAGCATGTTATCATTTACATGATGACATGCTAAAAAGAGAAAAATACTTCATGAGAAATTTTCATTTAGAGGCTGGTTGGACGTCAAAACGCAAATCTGATTTTTTTGTTTGTTTGTAATTTTCTACTTTTTTTATGCAATTGATTTGTAAAAATAGGAGAATGATACAATGGAATGGAAATATTATATTACTCAATGTAATTCAATTACAAAAAACAAAAAAATGAATGTTGTTAAAATTTGTCTTGATAATATAGACTCCTCTCTTTTGAAAAATCTGTCTCAAATTTTTTCTTTTTACATAAGGAGATAAATTTAAAAGAAAAAAATTGGCACGCAATAAAATGAAATACAAATATTTTTTGGTCTAATATTTACAAAAATTAAGTATAAATTAAATTACTATTTTACATTTAAGAAGTAGACTTAGTAGAAATACTAGACTTTTATACATTTTAAAAATAGATTTTATTGCTTCTATATAATCAGCTAATGTAAGGAATAAATATTCCATTAATTAATATTCTAAATTAGTAACTTAGTAATTAATTAAATTATTTAAATTATAATTAGTAAATCTAAATTTGTATTTAAAATTTCTAAATTAGTAACTTTTTCATATTAATTATTATTATAATTATTTTTTAATATTTTTCTTGTTAACTGGTTCGGATACGTACCACCTCACTCACTAAAACTCGAATCATGTGAGTTCTAGAATCTACATATTATTTGCATACAAATATTTTATTGCATGTTTAGTTGTTCTTTACTATCTATTTCCACCCAAATATGTATTTTTATTTGTTCATTAGAAAGATAAAGAAAAGAAAGGAAAGGAAAATTACACGTTTAAAATTAGATTTTTAACAACTGCTGATTTAGATTTTTAAAAAACTGCTGCCATTTTTGTTGTAGAAAATTTTTTTTATTACGTTTTGATGTCAATAATTAGATGTCAAACAAAAGCTCTAACATAAACAAATAATAAAAAAAATTTACATGAAAATCTGATATCAAGACAAAAACTTTCTTATAAATTTAGGGTGTACTTGATTCAAATAATGTAATATATTATTTTTCTCCCCCCCCCCCCCC